ACCGCCAACAGGCGTAAAAACACACGAATCCAAGGCGTTGCCAAATATTTATTGGGATAAGATTTTATCCTTTGAATATTGTTGTAAATAATAATTGTCATTTAATTAGTGCTAACTTATCAAAGTTCACAACATGGCGAAATTTCAACAAAATCGGCCAACGGATCTTTGGGATATTAATAAAAAAGGTCTATTAGAAAACACCTTGACCCCTGTATCTTTAAAATTATACATTTCCGGGCAAAAATATGCAAAAAAAATCCAATAAAAAAACCACAAATGGCACATTAAAATCTGCATTATCTGAAATCAAACTATACCTAAACGGCTAATAAAATAATACTGACAAGACTAAATAAAAGTGACAAGACGCCGACATCGATAACGCGATGAGCAGTTTTAAATAATTATTATATTATTCCGAGTTATTATTACATACGTGTTTTACAATTACTGTAATACATAGTAGCATTCCTTCAAATAAATTTTAATTTAAGTATTGTTAATATAGTCATATTAATTATTATAGCCCGTATGATTTCTAAAATAAAAAAATCAAGCGTGTTTTTATCAGAATTATTAAATGATTAAAAATAAGTAGAAATAGTTAATATTTATTAACTTCGTAAGTGTTATATTTTAATATAATTAGGGACTATCTTAAGTTTAAATTATGGTAACCTTGTATGAGTTTCAATCATTTATATTTAAAATGTTAGGAAAGACAATATAGATTTTAGGCAAGAGGGAAGCCAATATGGGGGGGAAGGACTGCGTAACTAGTAATTAAAACTTATCAATTCTTTTTTACTTGATATTTTTCTGGTAGTTCACGTTGCACTTTAACTCTTCGTTGTGTCACACACAATCTAAATTTCGGATATGATGCAGAACTGATAAATTGGATTAAATATATTAATTGCAAGGTACGCAAAGAAATATTTTTGTTAACTTTGCAAATACTTAAGGCATGCAATAATTTTAAAAAATTTTGACGTGAGATTACTTCATAATTCTTGGAAGTCTTGAATGATAAAGATTTGAATTATTATGGGTCTGTTTTGTTTAAGAAGCTAACAAATAATTTCAAAAACTCAACTATCAAAATATATTGGTAGCAAATTTTTAAAAGTATGCCTAGTTATAATGTTCTATATTAATTTGACATACTGAATGTAAACTAGGTATAGTTGTTGCAATCATAATATATGTTGCTGCTTATTTTCAGCACAACAAAATCCGTTATGATGAAACGAAAAAAAAAATACCGCTACTCATATTATGGGCACCTATGTATTTTTAATTTCATAATGATGTTTAAAAATACATAGGTACATACTATGAGTAGTGGTTGTGACGGTTTTTTATTAGGCATGATGAAAAGAAGCTGCAAACTAAATTATCGTTGGAGCCAACTATATTTTAATTTATTTTTATCCACAGTAACTATAGGGGTTCAAAATATGCCTATACTATACTATATATTATACAACTCCATTCGAGTATAGATTAACATTTACATTCCAAGTATCTTCTTGGTCTACCGGCGCGGCACCCCGTTCACCCTTATTCCCTCATTTCTATAAAAAAATATTATGATTTATAACTTTTAATTTTTATTGTGAAAATTGGTGAAAAGTATTTTTTTTGTACGGCGAATATAAATTTATTGGCCATCCATAAATTTAAATTTACACCTAAGTTCGAATATTGATTAAACCTAGGAATACCCAGGTAATACCCCGAAATATGCAAAAGAAGAAGTGAGTTTAGGTTAGATTAGAATTAGATTTTAGTTGGTTTTGCATTAATAAAAAATATAGACCTAATCTAAACTTAAGCTAAACTGACCCCCTTTTTGCATATTTTGGGCTCCTACGTGGGTATAGGAGCCCGTCGTAGTGTCGTGACCGTGATCGTGACCAATCACGAATCCGCACACGTTCATATCCATCATTAATATTTTCCTCACTAAATTCTTCACTTTTACACAAAACCATCACGATAAAAATCAAATATCAAAATTATTTAACGTTGCGAACGTTAAACTTGTTCACTATACGTATCTGGAATATATTTGTGAATAGCGATCAATGATACGTTTACGTTAGACTGCCGGAGTGCTGACGTCACGAATGTCAAATTGCTTTCCAACGAACAAGGTTTAGTTCTTTTATATTTCTATTGAGCTCTCCCAAATGACGCCACAAGTTAATATAAAATGTGAAAAAGCAGGTGATTGTCGACAACCGCCGACTTGTGTCTGGTATTTTCAATACGCCTATGATGGTTGCGCATGTTACAAAATCTGTGAATTTTTTAAATAGAAATCATAGTTGGCTATGAACTTAAAAAAATGCCGGCGTTTAACCCTCTCCAACGATATAACGTTATGGGTATCTATTTCTAAGAATGAGAGAAATATTGTTTTTTTTTTATCTTTGTATTGAAGTGGGCCTTATTTTGTGTTGAACTAGTTGCCTAATTATTTTTTATTACAATTTAATATTCTATATTATTATTTATCTGCATAATTAAAAACTTTTGAAAAGGTAAATTAACATTCTAATTAGTATTTGTAATTACAATTGAAATCGATACAATAAACAAAGAACAAAACTAAAAAGACGTATTTTTTGGGTGACGAATATAGTTTTTTCTAAAAAAAATCATCTAAGATGTTCAAACAGAGCACCTCCTTGTTGAATAAGCATCTTTTGCGCACAGAGTTACAGCGATATTTTACAGCGAACTGGTGTAATAAGTCCAAAAACTTGCCTAGTAGCCTTCTGCAATTCTTGCCTCGTCCCAATGATTCTTCCCTTATGTATAAGGTCTTTTAATTTTCCCCATAACAAGTCGAAAGAAGTTAAATTACAGGACCTAGCACGCTAAGGTATGGGAATTGAAATATGCAATAATATACAGGGGGTTTTATTTAAAAAAAGTTTGAAGTGACAGAGCTTTTTATGACCGACCCTGTATACTTAAATTTACTTGTAGCTAACAAGAATTTAAAAACGCATTACAACAGTATCACAGTTTCGGCAGAATGGCATCATTAAATGAAACCAAACACATCGAAATTGATTAAATTGAATTGTTTAAGTGATATTTTCAAAAGTCAATAACTCGGAAATGGTTGGTTTGAAGTACATTGTGTGTATTTCGATTTTTGCGTAGAATTTTTGCTTAATAATCTATATGAGATTCTATTTAAAAAAATGAAACTTTGATGTGCCACGACTTTATGAACGACCCTGTATACTTAAATGTAATACTCGCTAATAGATATTTAAAAATCCTATAACTTTTCTATTTAACTTTTTGCGGTACCTCCTATATTTTACCTAATAATCGACCTTTCCATGAATAAAAGCGACCCTGTATTTTTATAAGTTGCCATTAAAAATTATTCTGTGCTTGGCTTGTGGATTCAATTGCCTTTGAATGGTAAATGTGAGTTTTAATGATTATAATTTTGAACCTGTGTTTGCAATTTGTATGATAGAAGGTTAAAAAATAACTGTCTGGCGCAACAATTTCGTTGTTACCCTCTATACAGGATGTTTCAAAAAACATGTGCCATCTCTCGTGGGGAGATTCTTCACGTAAAAATAAAATGTATTTTTCATATCAACATAGGTCCGATTCTGCTTTGTTTCTGTTTGTTCTTTGGCTACAGGGTGTTAAAATCTTATTTTTTTTCGATCTCTTTTACTTTTCTTCCATCGGTATTTAGCCCGATTTCAATGAAATTTTGTGGTTAAAAGTTACTATAAATGGGACATATTTTAATGCCACAAAAGTGTCGCCATATTCACCAGGGACGTGCATATGGGTTATCACTGGAATATTTCTCTAAGAAGAGCATGTACGCCACTGACTTTCTTTTCTCTTGTTAGAGAAATAGTTTAATGCCGATTAAAAATTGCCTCTTGATATTTTGTCGATTTCAGCCTCCTTAATGAGATAACGCAATTTTATTAATTTGCTTAAGACTAATTGTCTAGTTGCTATTGCAACCTTTAAAAAGGTTAATATCATTAACTTCAGAGCGGCAACAAGTCAGTTTTAAAAAAACTAATCAATTCTAAAAGGTCTTAAGTCAATTTTAAAATCAAAATGATTTAAGTCTTAAGTCAATTTCAATATAAAGTTCAAATGACTTAAGTTTTAAATCTTTGACTTAAGTCATTTTCTTTCAAGTCAAGTCATTTTTGTAAAGACTTTCTCTAATGACTTAAATATTTTCAAATCACAAGTCATTTTGAAAATGACTTAAGTTTTCTGCCAGCTTGCAGCTCTGATTAACTTGCGGAAGTTTTAAATAAGTACTCATTGATTCCTCATCAAAATATATAAAAAAAAGTTCCTAGAAACATAGATATGGAAATACATAGTTTTAAAATTACAGGATGTTAAAACTTTTTAAAATTACGTCTTTTGTAATTACCTTAAATTCCATTATTTTTTTATTTTACTTTGCTGTAGGTAATGATATTTATTAATAAATTAGATAAAATAAATAATTTATTAATTTTATTAATTGTGATTAATAAAATTGCTAGTATTGATAATTGTGATTAATAAAATTGCGTTTATCTCAACAAGAAAATCGAAATCGACAAAATATCAAGATACAACTTTTAATTGGCATTAAACGGCCTATACAATTTTGCTGTCAAAAGAAAAAAAGTCATTGGCGTACATATTTTTTTCGACACTTTTTTAGCATTAAAATATATTGCACTTATAGTAACTTTTACCCTCCAAATTTTATTGGAATCACTAAAAGCACTTGGAGGAAAATTATAATAAATCAAAAAAAATAAGACTTTAACCTCTTGTAGTTACGAAACAAAGCAGAATCGGGCCTATGTTGATATGATAAAGAAATCTTATTTTTACATGAGGAATCTCCCCACGAGAGATAGCACATACTTTTTTCAAACGCCCTGTATACTTAATATTAAATAAACTTAAGTCTAAAATTTCAGGAAACAAATTATACTGAGAGTGATAATTTTGAAGTTATTGCAGAAGCCGTAAAAGAAACATCTGGCCAATTATATACCAAAGTGAGGACAAGCACGCCAATAAACTTAAATGACTTTCTGCCCAGTAATCAAGATATATTTTTCTCTTACGAGGGATCACTTACGACGCCAAACTGCAGTGAATATGTTAACTGGATTGTATTCAAAGATACTTCTATTATAAAAAATACATATGTAAGTGAACTCGCGGCTAAACAAATTGATTTTTTTTTCTAAATGAATAATGCTGATTGAACATTCTAAAGTTTAAACTAGATATACAGGGTTGTTCACCACATACGAAACGATTAGATTTTTACAAATTGTAAGTTTTGGGTTCGCTGAAGGACTATTAGAGCTAGAATTTAAAAATATTTTTACCAGATACAGGGTGTTCCAAATAAATAAAAAATATCAAAGTTGTATTTTTATAAATGGAATACCCTGTATATTATTACATTTTTATTTTCTACGATTAAAATAAAGGTAAATTTGATTAAACCTTACCGTTTTTGAAATATTTTCAATTTTGTGAAATCGCAGTAAAAATTTTAAAGCTTCATTTCTCCAAGGGTTTTGAAGCTTTTAATACTAAATATTTACTGAAGTTTATTTATTGATCAGATTTATGTTGCAATAATAAACAAAATACTACCTTATACAGAGTGTCTAAAAAATTATATTAAATTATTACTAGCTTTAAACGGCAATAACTTGTTTAATTAAGTGGAACCCCCTGTATATTTACGAGAATCGGATGGACAATTTAATTGTTTATCAAATTTTATTATACCATTATTATATTATTATACCTATCTCTTCATTTTTTTTTGTAGAAAATGCATTTTCTTATAATTTAGACCTCATTTATTACGTCACATAAAATCGAGGGGTGAACACTTAGGGGATTTATGGTGTACACATGAGAGGATTTCCAGGGGATGTACCGTGGATGTAGTGGATGTACCGAGGATGTAGTGGATGTACCGAGGATGTACTAGAGGATGTAGGGGATGTACCTAGGATGTAAGGGATGTACCGAGGATGTACTAGAGGATGTAGGGGATGTACCGATGATTTACCGGGGATGTATTTCGAATTATTTGGGGCGTAATTTGCCGAATGCGATGTTTCAAGTCATCCAAATTTGTGGGTTGTCTTTTGAATACATTTTCCATAAGGTATCCTCTTCGGTATCCTCTTAAAAAAGGTTTTTTTCTAATATTTTTTTTTACTTTTTAATTTTTAAATGAGAATAACTCCAAAAAGCTTGGATTTGGGTATAGCACTTACATGGAAAATATTCAGAATTTTAAGAGCAATTCAAAAATGCAGAAAAATAATAATTATGTTGCCACGAGGGTTGCCATTAAAAGAAATTGTCTTGGACAAAGCATTTTTGAGACACCCTGTATAATATTCATTTTTTGCATAAGGAAAAAAATCCCGGAAAAATTAAAATAATTGATGTGGCCGAGCGATTTCCAAAAAAATGTGGTTCTCGAGATGTTGATATTTATTCAATATTTTACAACCACCCTGTACGAAATCAAATAGGATCGAATATCGATATTGAGAATATAGATAGATATAGATATTTCCGATATGAAGTATTCATAAAGAGATATAGCGGTATCTGTTATATCGATAGCTATATCGATATTTGTGGACGAATATATCGTTACTTGGTTTTCACGTATGTGAATTAGCTTGTGCACATCCGTTTTTCTCAATGAATTTATTAAATAAAGTTTGCACAAGCCGATTTTCACAAGCCGATTTACACAAATTTCATGGGAGTGAAAATGGACCTTTATTTGATATATCGATAAAAATATCGATACTCAAGGCCTTGTGGCTCACCCCTACTCATAACTTCAAAATATCTCGCAAAATGTATGTATAAGTCAGATATATAGACTTTAATCCATATCTCTAGTATAAGTTTATGCAAAACTGTGTTTGGCATGTGTGTTCATATCTTATTGCATAGTGCCGTAAGCGTTATGAATTAAAGGGAAGTGTGTGTAAATAATTATTATTGTACCCTCTATACGTCAAAAACGAAGTTCATAAATGCGAATGCCTTTAGCGTTGCCTATTTTTAGGTCTGTTTTATAAAGTAGATCCTCGGTAGCTACTAGATCTCATTTTTATTTGGGGTTCAAAACACGAGATTGATAACTTTGCACATAATATAGGGCTTTACGCATGACTAAGTTATTTTTTCCGCCGACATAAACTGCATAAACCGAGGCATAAACTGTTGTTATACAGGGTAAGTCTTAAATAAGTGCAAATATTTTCAGGGGGGTATATTTTGACCCCAGGAACACGTCTATGATGTTTTTTTTGCAAATAAAATATGTTAAAAATCGTGCATTTTCTTTTAAATTTCCCTGTATATTTTTCGAAAACTTTTTAGAACTGCCTGTTCACCGCTAATTTTCCCACGTTATAAATTCTTAATCTCTGATATTACCATAGTTACAGCTTTACTCTATGGTTACGGCACTAAAAGGGATGCAAATACAGAAAAAATTCAGGTGGCTATCAAAATTAAAAAAAATCAATTTTTTTTTAAATTTTCAAACTTAAATAACTCGGTTATTTTGGACTTATTTGAAAAATGGTAAAGAAAAAATATGTTTCTTTTATCGAGATCTACCAGCCCTGAAAATATTTGCACCTATTTAAGACTCACCCTGTATAATAAAAGTAACGGCGAATTGTTGTAGGCACAATAATAGCCGAGATTGTTACAGCTCTGGCAAGATTTGATATGGGTTGGCGCGCCTTAGTTCGATTCTCGATGACCCCATATAATTTTTTTAAATGGTTTTGATTTTTTTTTATCCTTTTGAATTCAACAAAAACTATATTACTAGCCAATAAATTGTACAGGTTTGAGAAATTTTGTGTAGTTATACATTTAATAAAGCTCGTAATAAAGTGGGAGATCGCTCTAACATAAATAACAATTCCGGTTTCGTCGTAAGTAAAGTAACCTTAATTTTGTTATTTTAAATAAAAAACACCCTGTAAATTTTTATATCCCTCTAGTAAATGTAAGTCGAAATGGTGCTTCATCTTTTTTTTATATATTTAATAGTTTCGGAGATAATAGCGTTCAAAATTTTAACTTCCTTTTTACCATTCAAATAAAATTTAAAAAAAATATATACAGTGTGTCCAAGATACGTATATCTCGAAAAGTATTTTAGATACGTAAAACGGTTCATCACGAAAATTATTCTAAATGTATGGCGTAAATATGAGAGGATTTACTGGGGATGTACCGAGGATGTACTAGAGGATGTAGGGGATGTACCGGGGATGTACCGAGGATGTAGTGGATGTACCGAGGATGTAGGGGATGTACTAGGGGATGTAAGAGGATGTAGGGGATGTACCGAGGATGTAGGGGATGTACCGAGCATGTACTGGAGGATGTAGGGGATGTACTAAGGATAGAGGATGTAGGTGTACACTTTTTGCCCTATGTGTTTACCCCTCGCATAAAATATCAATATACCCATCCATGGAATATTGACATTTTAGATTATTTTTAAAGATGTAACAAATTTTCAAAAAGTACAGATACTAATATTGCCGATATAGTTCGCTAGATTTATTAAAAGATAAAAAAATGTTTAAATATTTTTTGTTAAAGATGACCAATTAACATGAACCCAGTATTCAAACTACATTAATTGACTGTTTACGTTGATTAATAATAATTGCTCCAAATAGTAAAAAACTGATTTTTTTATGTGTATAAGACAGTGTGGTAAAAAGTAATAGGTATATATAATACTAACAATTGTAACTAATTATGAAGCTACTTGTTAAAGATAAGTAATAAATAGTTTTAAGTAGTTGAAATTCATAAATATATTTTGAACACCCTGTAGCATCTAACAAAAATATCTTTACATAGGTCTTTTTCTATATCTATATGAAATTCTGCTACCAAATTTTATTTGTCCAACTTCAGAAACAACGGCATCACTGACAATTTTTTATCACACTGCAACCTAACAGTTGGTTAAACAAATTTAAATATTACAAAAACTATTAATTTTAGGTATATAACATTATATATAAAGAAAGTTATGGAATTTTACGCAGAATCTAAAAATAAAATAAAACATAGGGTGTTCCATTTAAAAAAACATATATTATATTCGCCACACTTTTTTGAAGCACCCTGTACTCTATAATAATTTTAAAATGTGTATCTTAACCTTTTCTATAACTTTTACATTTAAAACTTTTTTGTTAACCTCGAAACAAATGAGATAATGGACTTTACTCTATCTTTGACTCACCCTGTACAGTTGGTAACATATGTACAAAAGTACCGTATGATCGAGAAAAAAACGGCGTCAGCGATGGCTATGAAAGCGATGGCTATGAAATGAAGATCGCTGTCATTTGATATGTAAATTTATATGGGAAATGTCATCGATCGTCATTTCCCAGCCAACTGGACGCCGTTTTTTCCGATCATACGGCATATATACCGTATCTGTACTTTTTGAAAATTTGTTACATCTTTAAAAAAAATCTAAAATGTCAATATTCCATATATAGTGATAAATGAGGTCTAAATTATAAAAAATGCATTTTCTACGAAAACTTGAAGAGATAGTTAAAAAATCGTATAATACAATTTGATTGAGAATTAAATTTTGCATCTGAATGATGCAAAATATACAGGGTGTTCCATTTAAATTAAACAAGTTATTGCCGTTTAAAACTATTAACGATACGTCTATGTCTTCTTGTAAGCCTATAGAATGTGGTGTCCCTCAGGGTTCAGTACTTGGCCCTATTTTATTTCTGGTGTTCATCAACGACATTGCAAATCTAGACATTAGCGGTAAAATCTGCCTCTTTGCGGACGATACTAGTTTCACTTGGAGCGGCCCAGATGTTACGGCACTATATGATACTATATCCAGTGACTTACGCACAATTAAATCTTGGTGCGATTCTAATCTCCTATGCCTCAACCTTTCAAAAACTAAAGTTTTGTCATATAAAAGTACTATACAACCCTTTGTACTTAATAACACCACTATTGACGTCGTGGACTCTGTGAGATTCTTAGGACTTGTTGTGGACAACTCTTTAAAATGGGACTTGCACATCGAAGCCTTATCAAAGAAACTAAGCTCTGCCTGTTTTGC